TTCCCTCCTTTCTTCTCTCCTTCCTTCCCTCCTTCCCTCCTTCCTTCCCTCCTTTCTTCTCTCCTTCTCTCCTTCCCTCCTTCCTTCCCTCCCTCCTTCCCCCTTCCCTCCTTCTCTCCTTCCCTCCTTCCCTCCTTCCTTCCCTCCTTTCTTCTCTCCTTCTCTCCTTCCCTCCTTCCTTCCCTCCCTCCTTCCTACCCCCTTTCTTCTCTTTCTTCTCTCCTTCCTCCTCTCCTTTCCCTTCTCTCCTTTCCCTTCCTCCCCTTTACCCTTCAACATAAATTTTTGGATCAATTGTGGTCGTAAATCGAGGAATACCTGTATATCTTTACTTTACACAAACACACGCTGCAAACTGTCCCATCTATAAGCAATTGGGGTCCTTCTTAGGCTCTCTCCTGCCTACCTCGCAGGGTTGTTGTGTAAGGGGGCGGGGCCAAAAAAAGGCAGCCGAGCAATACGATGCCGCCGATGCTCGACCCTCCCAGGCCTTTAACTCACCATGCGGGCACTCGGGCGCCGGGGCTGCGGGGGAATCGCGTCCGGAGACCACCGTCGCCTCGCCCGCCTCCATCTCTCGGCTCGCCGGATTCGACCAAGGGCTCTTCCGCTTCCTTGCCTCGCGAGGCCTCTGAACAGGAAGCTCTCTTCCCTTTTCCTAGCTCTAGGAAATCGCCCCCTAAGGTTCTTACGGCCGCAACGCCCCGCCTCTTCCGGTTTCCTTTGGAATCCCTAGATTTTTTAAAAAGTAGAAGCCTCTGCTTTGGTGCGGTAGCGGGAATCGCTCTCCAGAAACTAGATAGCAATAAAAGAGAGGTTGCATAATTTAGCCCAAGTCTGATTTTAAACGATTTTTTTTTAATTCTTTCAATATCCTGCTGGTATTTAAGGAAACGGCAAGTGGCCCTTTTATAGGCTTGTTCTTTTATAGGCTTGTTTAGATCCATGAAAGGCTGGGTTTAACTTCAATCTCAGCAACTTTTAAGGCGTCTGGATTTCAACTCCCAGAATTCCCCTAAGTTCGCTGGCTGGGGAATTCTGGGAGTTGAAATCCAGGCCTCCTTAAAATAAAACAAAAAAGGTTGCTACAGTTGAGAAAGTTAGGAGAGAGTCGAGATATATTGGCTTATTTATTTGCTATTATTTTGTCATGAAAACCAACAGGCTGCATCGCAGCTTTTAAGATGGGTGGATTTGAACTCGCAGCTGGCTAGGGAATTCTGGGAGCTGAAATCCACCCAACTTAAAAGCTGCCGAGTTGGAAAAACACTGAGCTGCATGGTTTAAAATAAGGACCAGAATCGGACTTCCCAAATCGCATAAATCCTCAAATTTATTCTTGTCTGAATGTCTGAATTAACTCTAGCACAGTGTTTCTCAACCTTGGCAACTTGAAGATGTCTGGATNGTCATGTGGCCGGCATGACTCAACGCCGAAGGCGCACGGAACGCTGTTCCCTTCCCACCAAAGGTGGTTCCTATTTTTCCACTTGCATTTTTTACATGCTTTCGAACTGCTAGTTTGGCAGAAGCTGGGACAAGGAACGGGGGCTCACTCCGTTATGCAGCGCTAGGGATTCGAACCGCCAAACTGCCGACCTTTCTGATTGACAAGCTCAGCGTCTTAGCAACAAGGAAGACCTCGACTTACAACAGTTCGTTTAGGGTCCGTTCCAAGTTACAACGCTACTGAAAAAAAGGGACTTGTGACCGTTGTTCAGACTTACGACCATTGAAGCTTCTCCACGGCCAGGTGACTTATATTCGGAAGCTTGACAATTGACTCATATTTATGACGGGTCGCAGTGTCTCGGGGAGTGACGCCCTGATCCCCTTTTGCAACCAAGAAGAGATTGGACTGCCCTTTGTCAGAAATGGTTTAGGGTCTCCTGCTTGGGAAGGGGGGGGTTGGACTAGATGACCTCCAAGGTCCCTCCCGACTCTGTTAATCTGTTAATCAATTTACCATCCCTGGAGACTTTCAGGAAGAGATTGGAGCGTCATTTGTCAGAAATGGTGGAGGGTCTCCCGCATGGGTGGAGGGCTGGTCTAGATGACCTCCAAGGTCCCTTCCGACTCTGTTAATCTGCAATCTGACCTTCTGACGAGCAAAATCAACGGGGAAGCCAGGTTCACTTAACGACCAAGTTACTAACTGAACTTCCAGAGGGATCCGCTTAACAACTCCGGCCGGAAAAGTCGTAAAGTGGGGCAAAGCTCACTTATCAAATGTCTCACTTAGCAACATATTTTTTTTCAGTGTCACAGATGTGTTTATTGTATTATCATCAACCGTATCATTCTTCTGGACTAAGTGGAAGACACATAGTAATTTCAATCACTTTCACGTGACTTTTTACAATATATGGTCCATCTTTTTCCTGTATTTTTTATTATTATTATTATTATTTTAATTTTATCAATTTCATATATACATTCACAATTATATGATCTCATAACTGTTATTAATAATATGTGTTTATAACAATTTTTCCCTACAGTTNGGTTCCTATTTTTCTACTTGCATTTTTACGTGCTTTCGAACAGCTAGGTTGGCAGAAGCTGGGACAAGTCACGGGAGCTCACTCCGTTACACTGTGCTAGGGATTCGAACTGTCGAACTGCTGACCTTCTGATCAAGAAGCTCAGCATCTTTAGCCACTGAGCCACCGAGTCCCTGGTCTTTGCAATACAAAATCTGATTAATCATTTCTGTTCACATGAAATTAACACCTTAAAAGAAAACCATGAATGCCTGCCTTCTGTTTGCTAGGTGGATATTATTATTTATTCTTTTGTGCATTAGGTTTCTATCCCATGTTCATGACTTTGTAAGTAATTCAAGGTGGCAAACATATATAATAGTCCTTCTTCCTCTTCTTTTTCTCCACAACCACCCAGTGAGGTTAATTGGGCAAGACAGAGTGACTCAAAGTCACCAAGCTTTCATGTCTAACAATTTCCTGGTTTCTAGGCCAGCACCATAACTTTACACTATTGTCCATCTGTAGATATACGCGGTGGCTCAGTGGCTAAGACACTGAGCTTGTCAGGCAGAGGTGTCGGCAGTTCGAATCCCTAATGCTGCGTAACGGAGTGAGCTCCTGTGACTTGTCCCAGCTTCTGCCAACCTAGCAGTTTGAAAGCATGTAAAAAATGCAAGTAGAAAAATAGGGACCACCTTTGATGGGAAGGGAACAGCGTTCAGTGCACCCTTGACGTTGAGTCATGTCGGCCACATGACCACGGAGACGTCTTCGGACAGCACTGGCTCTGGCTTTGAAACGGAGATGAGCACCGCCTCCTAGAGTCGGGAACGACTAGCACAGATGTGCAAGAGGAACCTTTACCTTTACCTTAGATATAATAAAATCTGCTAATAACAATTCTTGCAATCTCATGCATTCTTATCTAGGAAAATTCAAAAACTCACATGCTCTCCACTCATCCGGATGCTTGAAAGGAAAAGCAAGGCCATTATCAATTGCTGCAATTTGAATAATAGGCTCCTTTTCATTAATCCACTGGATCTCCTATTGGAAAACAATGAACAAAAACAAAATCCAGAAGTAATCAGGGCACGCCTATTTAGCACAAAAACAAAAACTTAACATTTGAACAGAATATTAAGCCCGCGCAATATAGGTCATGCAATATTCTTTTCCATTTATAATTCGGCAATCATCTAGCACAAGTACCATATTTTTCGGACTATAAGACGCACCGGAGTATAAGACGCACCATGATTTTGAAGAGGTAATTTTTTTAAAAAAACGTTTTTGCACTCTGCAGGCCTCCCAAACCCTCTGCACAACTCATTTTTTTTTGGGGGGGGGGCATGCAGAGGCTTTGGGAGGCTTGTAGAGTGTCCTTGGGGGCTGGGGGGGAGAGCAAAAATGAGCAAAAAAATGGCCTGTTTTTTGCTTGTTTTTGCCCTCCCCAGCCCCAGGAGCACTCTGCAAGGCTCCTAGAGGCTATGACACATCCATTTTTGCAAAGGGGGTGGGGTTTCGGTAGGGTAGGCCAAAAATGCTGTATTCAGTGTATAAGACGAACCCAGATTTTCACCCTCTTTTTTTTGAGGGGGGAGGGGGGGGAAGGTGCATCTTATACTCCAAAATATAAAATTGATGACTGAGAAAGCATTGCACATGGTTTAATTCTATCTTATTCCATTAAGAACACAGGATGGGAATTATTGATGAAATTCATAATCAGATACATAACTGAACACAAATCCCATCGCTTATTGATCACACTGTATCCCTGTGATCAAAAGCCAAAGGCCCTTTGTCCTACCTTGTCAGAAAGATCCGTCCCGTCGCTCTGTTTTTCATACTTCACCAACCAATTATCGTTGCCTCTATCTTCAAAGAAATGAAGGAGAATCACAATGAAATGAAAGGCAAAAGGGGTGCCGCACTAAAATCTGTCACAGTAATGAAATACAAGAATGAAACAGCTCGTAATATTTAAAGGTCAGGGCCTGTTATTTTAAACAAACTGCAGGTAGAATTTTTTTTAAAAGCAAATTGCAGGCGACATTGCAACCGTCATAAATACAAACCGGATGCCAAGCGTCTGAAAGTAAGTCATGTGACTGTGGGGACACTGCCATGGTCGTAAGTGTGAAGAATAGAATAGAGTAGAAATAGAATAGAAATGGAATAGCAGAGTTGGAAGGGACCTTGGAGGTCGTCTAGTCCAACCCCCTGCTTAGGCAGGAAACCCTACATCACTTTAGTCAAATGGATATCCAACATCTTCTTATAAACCTCCAATGTTGGAGCATTTACAACTTCTGAAGGCAGTTCGTTCTACTGCTTAAATGTTCTCTCTGTCGGGAAATTCCTCCTCAGTTCTAAGTTGCTTCTCTCCTTGATTAGTTTCCACCCATTGCTTCTTGTTCTGCCCTCAGGTGCTTCGGAGAATAGCTTGA